ATAAAACGAATCATCCTGAATAATTTTTGATCTAATGATCGGATCTTCTCCACGTTCTAGGACTTAAATTTAATGGTTTCAGAGGATGACTTCAATTATGCTAATTAGTTAGAGCCGACTATATTTTGAGTTGCGAAATCAGAAGTAAAAACATACTTTCTCTGAACAAACTTATCCCTTTTTCGACGGATTCAGATTTCTGCCCCCCAAAATATAGTCGGTAGCCGCAATCCCAATAGTTTAGTCAGGAGAGCGGTCCAAAGGACCGTTAATTAATTAAGGATTAGTTAATTAATTACGGATTAATTAGTTTATTAATTAAGTATTAATAAGTTAATTAATTAAGGATTAATTAGTTTATTAGTTAAGGATTAATTAGTTAATTATTTAAGGATTAGTTAATTAAGGACTGTTAATTTTATTACTTTCGTATTTTGCCATATCTCGAGAACTTTGTAAGGGAAATTAAAATATTTTTCGCATAATTATAGGATTTTTTTATCCGAAGATAATTCCATGCTAAAAATAACTCTCAGCTAATATTTATTACTTTTTTATTATTTTATTTAATAATAGTTGAAAATTTTTTAAATTGTAAGGTATACAATTTTTTACATTACTTTAAGGAATGCAATTTTTACAGGATCGAATAGTTCCTGAGCAATCGAATTTTGAAAAAGTCGTATTTTTAAAATTCGACTTCTCAGGAATTTTAATTTATCGGATTTGACCGATTTCGCTCAAAATTTTCGTATTCCCATGCAAAATTACATACTTTAAAATGGTGCAAAAAGTGTGTGCCTTACAATTCAAACTTTTTACGAACTATTGTTAAATGAAATAATGGAAAATAATAAATATTTACTCCAAGTTACTCTTCACATGGAATTATCTTTCGATCAAATTCCGTTACAGTTGTGTACAAAAAATTTTCAATTCTTTAAAAAAGTTCTCGAGATATGGTAAAATACGCAAATAATAAAATTAATATTAAATGGTTCAAACTTTAAACCGTATCCTGACCAAACTATTGGAGTCATATTTAACAGATTACGGCAAGTCCCTGGAATTTGGGGGGTCAGATATCTGAATTCGTTTGAAAAAAGGTACGTTTATTCAGATATAGCCTTTTGCCTCTAATTTCGTAACCTAAAATAACGTTTGTAATTAATTAGATGTTGTTGTAGTTGTTGTTGTAGTTAATTTACGTCGCACTAGAGCTGCACGATGGGCTATTGGCGACGGTCTGGGAAACACCCCTGAGGATGATCCGAAGACCTGTCATCACAATTTTGATCCTCTGCAGAGGGGATGGCAGCCCCGCTTCGGCAGGCCGACGACCTGCACGCGAAATCGAGCACTTTACGGTAGAACGGTTTAACGAGGATCAATACCGCACACCCTCGAATCCTACGCAGACTGATCCAAGTGGTCACCCACCCGCACACTGACCGTAGCCAGTGATGCTTCACTTCGGTGATCTGCTGGGAACCGTGTCTTAACGATCAGTCCACTGCGGGTAATTAATTAGAATATTTGAGATTATCCCTTCAAACCACTAAAATTGAGTCCTAGAACGTGTAGGAAGGTCCGTTTTTCTTCTTAATGTCCACCTTTTGCAACCAGATTTGTAACGGACACATTTATTGCAGAAATAAAAAGAAAATCTCCCGCAAAAATCAGGAAATCCAGTAACTATGAAGAGATACCGGTAACGGTAAAGAGAACCGGTAATAGATGGTTCTACAACGACGGGCATAATGTGAAAAATATTTATACGTTATAACTCAAAATTCTTTTACCTATTAATTAATTCTTTTACCACACGTTGAATGCCACGCTAATTTTGCATGGCTTGCCCGCCTGGCCACAACGGTAAATAAGTACAAACTAAATTTGCAAATATTAGTCAGATTTTGCTAGTCTTTTAAAAGGTTTAGCATGACATATCTGAAAAAAGTGGTGAATTATACAAGCCTACGAATTGTTTAGAAATAGTGGTGGATAAAAATCTACTAAATTGAATTTATTAAACCAAGATTAACAATTAATAAACTACCACTTCAAAATATTTATTCGCTGTCAGGAGCAAGTTGGCATCTCTGTGTATATATATAAAACTATTTTTGTGTGTTCTATATTGCATTAATTTGATCAAACCATTTTAGTAACGATAATAATATTAAAAAATATTGAAAAATTTACTCGAAATATGTGTTTTTAATAATCTTGTCTTCGCCGGTCACTGGTAACCCCAGTACCGCTACGAACAAACTCAGTGCCGGTCACCGGTGATCCCCATGGCATTCACCGTTTTAACGGTGGTTGATCGTATTTAGCGCTTGACTTCAAAGTGTTATTGAAGGTACATGATTTTTCACAAACGATTTTAATTTTAGTCAGAGTTGTTTTCTTGGTGTGGATATGCCACTTGTGTTGACGTTATGAAACCCGAATTGATGAATAAAATTTAGCGTCAATAAAAATGATTTTATTTTTGTCGTATGCCTGTTTAGGTAGTGGGAGTGCGATTGTTCCTGTCTTCAGTGGCGCCATCTATGGCCAGGAATTCGAATTGCCCCGCCATTTACACAACCAAAACCCGTTTATAGGGTGGGTCACATTCAAGCACAAAGGAGAAAGGACATAGAACACACAGATTGAGAAAGAAACATCCATGCTTTGTCCGGGAATCGAACCCAGGACCTTTCTAATGCAAGGAAATAGAAGGAATTCTTCGGCAATAAAAATGATTCCTCCTGTCATTTAAGAGTAAAAACAAATTTACAGATCATGAATAATCGAATTATTTTAAATAAATAAACCATTATGTTTTTTGTTTAAGTTCGCCTTAAGTTTTGCGCAATAAAAATTAGTTAGCCTTAAAAGATGAGAAGTAGTTTGCTTGCTTGAGTTGCTTAATTTTTTTCAAATTTTTTTTTTCTTCAAAAATATTTTTTTCTCCCTAATTTAACATTTTAACGGTAAAATTTAATCATTGATAGCATCGTCTTCAGATCACTCTGACAGAAACAAGAGGTTGTTGATCTCTTTCATAATGAACTCTCTAAGTAAGAGCCTTACATAAATATTTTGAATGCATTTTAATTTATTTATTTGTTTTGTTAATGTTTTTTCTTTTGGTGTTTTTTTCAGCGTTTCCTTATTTGACCTTTTCAGTATTTGTTGTAGAAGTTTGTCGGTCACTGGGAGAGTATTTTGATGGTCTCTCCCAAAGGTTTTTTTTTAACGCGAAGTCTATGGAAAAAGTTCTTATGACTTCCAAAAGTGGTCGTAAATGGAGAATGTCGCTACATAGAGGTGGACTCTCCCTTGGAGATTTCACTGTAATAATAAATAACAAATAGCATTAAAAAATAACATTTTACTAACGCAAAATCTTTGGGGATTGCCAATCGAGTTCTTCAAACTGAGTTCAAAATTTTTTAGATTCTTTTAAATAGTTCCAGAAAGGATGCCATTGGCGGAGGAAAATTTTCACGAATTATCATCCATTTATATTCTTGAAGGATAAAATTAAGAAAGAGATTAATCTTTTGAAAATGTTCAGAAAACCGAAGAATATTTTTTTTCTATGCGCGAAATTTAGTAAACTCGCGCGATTGAGTATTTCATTTTATCCCCCTTAATAATAGGAAAGCCAGTGACGCCCATGGTTCCAGAAATTTATGATCAAAAGTCTTACATAAACTATAAACTAAACTATTTGACTGAATGACACAATTTAGTGACATTTTCAGAGTGGCTATAATCATGGAAGAAGAAAAAAAAGTGGTATTCAAACCACTTTTTTTTAAAAAGAGATTTATTGGAAAGCAGGGCAAAAAATTCTCTGCCCTATTTTATTAACACCTACCTAATTTGAGACAAAATCAGACATTCATATTGAAAATTGGATTAGTTATGCCAAAGTTAGTGTAAAGACAAAAACAATCTTGTTACATTAAACATACTCTGATTGATACGACCACTTTATGTTATTTTCATTGATTAATAAATAACCCTGACGATGTCACTTACCTGCTTTATCCTTTAACCCTAAGTTTACGGACGTTTCTGATGTACCTATCTCTACGAACACTCGTCAATTTGACGCATGAACGAATATATATAACAGCACTTACAGAGATGCCAACTTTCTCCGGACAGCAAATATATATTTTAAAGTGGTAGTTTATCAATTGTGATTCTCGGTTTAATAGATTCAATTCAGTAGATTTTTATTCACCACTATTTCTAAATAATTCGTAGGTTCATATAATTCACCACTTTATATTTACAAAATTTACTTAGTAGTTATTTACCGTTTTTTTTAAATTATTTTGGTGTGTCCGGAGCAATTGGCATCTCTGCGCTTAGAAAGCAATGTGATTATATACTATAAGAAAAAAAAATGAAAATATGAGATATACATTTATGAAATATTCTAGTATTTTATTTTTCAATACTCGAATTAAGCTACTGAAACCTTCAAAATATGACACTCTGACATCAATTGACATTCTGCGTTTGTTCTTTCTATTATTGCTTATCGGCAACAGTTGTTTATCGCTTGTTTCATTTGAGATAACGATATCGGAAAACGGATCGAAGTATTGTCGGTACATTCCTATTTATAATTGATGTGATGTTTGCATGTTTACTTAAAATTTTGTCTAAATGATGATCGCGGCAAATTGACGCATCGCATATCCGTAGAGATAGGTATAACACAAAGAAAATTTCAATATTTCAACGCTTTTGATTAAAATAGACTTCAATATATATTTAACTCGGTCAAAAGATAAAAGTCATTTCAAGAGATAAAATAAAAATGCAAACGGGTTTTGTAATTTTCATTATAAAATTCGAAATGCGTCAAAATGACGCTTTCCGTAAACCTAGTGTTAAACTCTTCATGTATAATACAATATCATGTATAGTACAATAAGGATATTATCTAGCGTATACTAATAATTCTTTTTCCTTTCTTCTACTAGGATCAGCCAGAATAAATACTGGAACAAATCATTATGGGAACTGAAAACGTGCAAATAAATTATGAGCTAAATGATACAACATTACAAAATCTTCAAAACCAAAATAATGTCCAAGAAACCTCTACTTGGGTTGAATGGGGTTACTGGTACTATGTGAACGGAAAAATTATTAAAAATGTCTATGAACTTAGCAAAGTAGTATCCCCGGAACAAACCATTCGTCAGATAGCTACCTATACTGTAAGACCTTTAGCCAGAAAAATCGATGAGACTACAGGGTTGAACAATGCAAACATCAAATTACTCGGTTATGAAATCCCGTGTTCTTTTTCAACGTTTGGAACATTAGCAACAGAAACTTTAGCTATGACAATAAGTCCCGCACAGTGGGCCGCGAGTAAAACGTTCTATTTATTATCGAGTTCTTTCGCAAGTGAGGTGATAACTAAACTGGATCTTCAAAATCGAGGAGCCTTAGGAAGAGAAGCTGCGGCTGCTATTCAAATTGGTTCTACTTTAATTGGCCAAAAAACTTTGGAAAAGGTAGAAAAATATGAAATCGTAGGATCTACGTATAAGAAAGTTGACGGTAAACTTAAAAATATATCCAAACCAATTGATACATTTGTAAATCAGCAAATTTCAAATGGATTGCAAAAATTAGGACTTGATGCAACGCAGCCTTTAGGACTTACAAGATTTGATATTGAGCGGGAAAAAAAGTTGATTGCGTCTGAGGAGAAAGTGGCAGACATAGAAGAGAAGATGCAAGATTTGAGATTGCAAGAAGAAAAATTACAAGAAGAAGTTGCTCAGCGAGAGAGGGTTTCTGAACAGAATCATTTAGATGCAGATAAAATAATTAAAAAAGTTCGGAAATATGAAAAAGATTGTCCTGAGAGGAAAACTGTGGACAAGTATGAGAAACATAGAAAATATCATAAAGTGTGGGCGAAACAAATATCTGAAGAGTTTGTTAGTGAATTTAATATCTCAGAGCAACAGCGTAGTAAAATTCAAGAAGAGATTGTGCTTAAATTGCATAACAAACGGGACGAAGAGGCACAAAACAAAGCTATGAAGAAAGCCATCGATAGTTATAGAACTACGTTGCAAAATAAATCAAAAATACAGCTTGAAGATGTAAAGCGCGCGCATACAAATATGCAGTCTAAACTTGATAAAGCTAAACAACAGTATGAGTCAGAAAAATACAACTTTAACAAGGAGGCCAATGTATATCAACGAATTAAATACAAAAATGAACAACAGGTAAGGTATAAAACAAGAACAAAGAACCATTTATCATGCTCGAATATTTATTCAGGTAATATACAGCTGACAATTTCGTCTGATGAATTGAAAGATTTAGAAAATCGCATCAACGATTATTTTGAAGAAAATGGATATTTCAAAAGGAATTTAAATGACAGAAATATCAAAGTCTTTTTAAATGGTAAGATAAATATTGATCGCGATTCACTAGGCAATTTAGGCTTGGTAGTACCAATAAAATTTGACTCAAAACGAATGGACTTGAAAAACCTGAAGGGAAAAGTTACTCAATTTAAAACGGATTTATTTTTCAACATTCAACTTGCTGATGGCTCACCGGAGAGATTGATTGACATTAACATTGATGGAACGCACAAACTGAGCAAGAAGCCTTACTACAAATTATTTTCTACATTTAAAGTAATGAGGATCGGATCAAAAGCAAATGAAATATTAGAACCTGAACTCGTAAAAGCAATGGATTTCATACAAGAAAAAGTTGATGAAGCTTTGCTTAAAGACAATATTTTAGATCAATTTAACGCAAATCTACCGGAAGGGGTCATTATAAAGCCTGGAACCATTAATGTTAGGCCAAGGGTAGATATAAACTGCAATCAAATGTTCGATATAGATTTCAATGCTGATTTCCAATATGAAATGTCAGCTGATAGCTTGAAAGATGTGTTTACAGGCTATTCAATAGCTGGCTGTTGCTTTGAGCAAATATGTAACATTGAAATGACAAATGGTAGAGTGAAAATTGAAATTCCGATTTCGGGCGCAATAAATGGGAGAGTTGTTGGCAGCTTTGATCTGTTTTATTGCCCTGAGCTGCAACGTTTTTCATTTAGTAATTTAGAAGTTGCTTCGAAAAATAATGATTCATTACTGGTTAACTTTATAAGTGGTGGTGTTAATCGTCTTCAAAGCGTTTTGTTGGAACCTATCGAGGGTTATATAAATAATAATTTAGAAAATGTTCGATTATCTGCAATAAATGCTGTAGAACAACGATTACAAGAAAAAATTCCAGGTAGATTGACTATTGATGAGGATTCTCTTATTATCAACAACATTGAATGTAACAATAATAATATTACTTTGGATTTTTCACTATGCTCCAATGATTTGTCCTTAAATCAACCTATGTAAGTTGACTTTCAAAGTAACATAGATATGTTTGTTTTACTAAATCTTACCATCCATGTAAATTGACGTTAGTTAAATTAATTTTAATGTTACTAGAGATGCATTGATGCATCTAGAAATGTAGAATAGTTATAATCTATTGCAGGCTGGCCATTTCTTTGACAATTATAAATAATTTTATATGATAAATAAACATTAAATTAAATGTTTGATGCTCTAAAACATCTATTCCCTTTTTATTTAAAAATGTTTACTGTTTCAAACATTAGTTTACATGTTTTAATTTTATTTATTTATTTTTCTTTTCATAAATAATTTAACACAATTAAGATAAGGTTGTTTAAAGTAGTCATAAACAAATGAAGTTTTTCCACCTTATTAAGAAATGTTCTAAATTCATGGCTGTTAATAAGTGATGTAATAGATTTTAAGTCCTTATCGACAAAAACATTGTCTTTAAAAAAGATAGAATGTGCAAGTTTTTGATAGTAATAGAATAATTTTTCAGTACAATTTGTAAAATTACCTTATTGTTTAATGGACTAAATTAAACATCTTTAATGAGTGTAAAGTAACATTAAAGCAGATGCAATTTTATGGTCATAACCAATAAGGATTTTTACACAATTACAAGAATGATGCACTTGAAACTTTTTACTGTACATATTTGTCAAAAAATTTTTGATGTGAGGCTTTAATTCATGGTTGAAATTGTTACATATCTAACTTTTGTGAAACTTAATTGTTACACCCTATGGATTATTAACTTTAAAGAAGTGAGGAAACGATTTTAGTGTAAGGAATACTATAGGCAATGGCAATTTACCTTAAAAAAAATAATGTAGAGAATAGGACAATGATCCTTAAACTTAAAGTGAGTGAATGAAAAATAATAGGACAATGATCCTTAAACAGTGAGAAAAATACCAGGTAATGGCCCTTTACCTTTAAAAAACATCAATGACGCGAATATGACGTATTTTCTGGAAAAGAAAAGCAACAGTCCACGTCCTATAGAGAAGCAGTTTGGAATTGAATGACTTCACGCTTGTTAATTTGAAAACTTATAGACCTGTCCCCCGCCTTTTTTTTCTTTTAAAAAAAGGAACTAAAGGAAAGGTTATAAAGAAAGCATGAATCTTGTTTTTGGAAAATATGTGAGCTAAACAATACCGTTAGGGGGGGTTATTTTGTGACAGGTGGCGTTACTTTTGGACACTCATGTTTTTGGGAATTAAATGGCTTCCAGCGATAGCAAAAATAAATGTAATTTTTTTACGGAATTTTTACTCAGTTTCAGGGGCGGTGTTAGGTTACCCTTTCAGAAATAATTGCTGCTTGTTAATCTACAAAAATTGTAATTTGATGGTGTCTCTTTTGCTGTTTGTCAAATCTCAGCTGAGCACCGACCACAGTGCTGATATGAAATATCCTCAGCGGTAGACGGATCATGGGATACAGTCCCCTTGTCGACAGGCTAACCGTGAGAGGTTCTCGTGGTTTTCCTCACCATGTAACGCAAATGCGGGTTAGTTCCATCAAAAAGTCCTCCACGAAGGCAAATTTCTCCCAATGCTTGATCCAGGAGTTTCCTTGTCTTCTGGATTAGGTTCTAAATTACAAAGCTACGGAGTTGAACATTAATGGGCGTAAACCCAAAATTGGGTCGGCTGTTCAACGACGGTTATAAAAAAAAATTAAAAATATCAGCTGAAATTTTTCGGAATTGTTATCAATAGGCTAAATTAACATTAAGATTTCTGGTATAATGAGCGTATTTCACTTATAATTAAAAACCCTTTATGTATTGTAGTTTGTTTTATACGTCATAATAGCCAACAACGTAATACTTTGGGAGGGGACATGGGACTAATATTTGATTAAGTATTGACCAATAATGAGAGCAGTAATCATGACAGAGAAGAAAAACTCACATGAAGGATATTTATTCTGACGTCAGAACACTAGTGAAAGATATTATGATAAATGAAATATCCTGATCTCTCTAATGATGATACACAACACAAATACTCATGCATAATGCTGTACTGTGTTTAAAAGAACTATTACATAATGCTGTACTATGTTCACAAGAACTAATACATAATGCTGTACTCTGTTCTTGTTCCCTGTTTTTATAATTTGCCCTCAATCGTCATTTTTCTCTATCTATAGTTCGAAATGAATGGTTCTATGAGAAACGATAAATCGATGTTCTACTGCATATGTTTAATATTAAATTGTTAAAAAAGCTCTGCTGCACCCTTGCAGCATCCGTTGCTGAAAGATCTCGTTGATCGATGTTCTACTGCATAGGTTTAAAATTAAGTTGTTAAAAAATCTCTGCTACACCCTTGCAGCATCCCTTGCTGCAAGGGTGTAACAGCTTGATCTCGTTGATCGATGTTTTACTGCATATGTTTAATATTAAGTTGTTAAAATAGCTGTGCTACACCCTTGCAGCATCCCTTGCTGAAAGATCTCGTTGATCGATGTTCTACTGCATATGTTTAATATTAAGTTGTTAAAAAAAGCTCTGCTACACCCTTGCTAAAAGATCTCGTTGATCGATGTTCTACAGCATATGTTTAATATTAAGTTGTTAAAAAAAGCCCTGCTACACCCTTGCTGAAAGATTTCGTTGATTGATGTTCTACTGCATATGTTTAATATTAAGTTGTTAAAAAAAGCTCTGCTACATTCTTGCAGCATCCCTTGCTGAAAGATCTCGTTTATAGCAATAACGAATCAAAATCGGAAAGTTCAGCTTTATCCAAAGTCATTTAGAGCTTATTGATGAAAGATTAAACTAGGAACACCAAAAAACAACAACACAAAATGAAAATTCACAAAAGTTGAAATTTTTGCAAGTGTTGCAGAACTTTTTTAATAACTTAATATATGCAAGTGCGGTGGCGTTTAAAATCATCATAAATTAAATTTATGAGACCAAGATTGAAATAGAAAAACTTAAGTTCTGCTGCCATTTCAAAGATAAAACTAAAATCTTCCAGAAAATCTGGCAGCTTTGCAGTCACAAGGATTCCTACAGTCCCGCTTGCTTTCAGCAAAAGATTTTGTTAAGTGATAGAGAATTAAAAACTAATACAAAAAATTTTGGTTAGTTCTTTTTTTTTTTTAACAATTCACAAGCTCACCACGAGTTACTATTAAGAAGCGTTTAATTTTAACTTTTGAATTGTTTTATGTTGTGGTATACAAAATAACTTAAACCCAGATCTACCAATTCAAGGATTTTATATAAAACATGAATTTCGCCCACTAAGTGGAACACGTTTCAATTAATTAGTTATGATACTAGTTTTCACATTCTTTTAGAATTTCGATAAAAGTGAGCAATAACTAATTACAAATTGTGGTTGCCTTTTGTTATAAAATGCATGCGAGCTTTAGCAACTAACATTAATTTAAAATGTGGATGCATTTTGCAAAATTAGAACGAGAAAGCAAATTTAATACTTTTATTATCTTTTCTAGGAATAATAAAGTGGTAGGAAAAAAAGGTATAAATTATCTGAAGTCATACTTACGATGTTATTAGCTTACGATGTTACGAGTTTACGATGTTATGCAGTGAAAAATGTTTCCCGTGAAACCATTTTTATATTTAAAACATTTTTAATGTTGTTGTCGTAGGACAGTTAAGACAGAGAGGGTGCAATTGTTCTTATTTTCCAGTAGGGCCATCTATGGCCAAGAGTTAAACTTCTGCCACACCCATACATTACACCCGTTTATAGGGCAGACCTATTCATACATCCGTTCATTCATCCACTGTTAGGTTTGTCACCACTAGATGGCGCCACGAGATATCAACAAAACTTGAGAATTGATTAAGGAAGAATTGCAGAGAGAATTAGAATGTTTTTTGGAGAGAGCGCAGCGGCGTTTGAACGATGTGATTCTGCTATTATTCTTTTTTTTATTTTATGTGGTTTTGTTTGTGATATGGAATAAAAATTGTGATGTGTTTAAATAAATTTGTTTTATGCCAAGGAAAGTTTAGCGTGAAATCTATTTCATATTATGGAAATTTGAAAAAGAACCTGCAAATTTTAGTTCCACAGATCGTAATTTTGATCTGAACGAGAGAATGATCAGCCTCCAATCCAGTACCCGCAGAGACGTAATTTGTTATGGGAACATTTAGGGCTTTGTGACCCCGATAGATTTACGTGCACCAGTCACCATTTACTAAACTGGGAGTCTTCGGCCGGCTGGATTCGAACTCCCGTTCTCACGAACATGAGTTGAGAGCCTTACTAATCAGGCCATCCCGGGAAAAACATTTTAAATTATTTTAAAATATAAGCTATATGAAATAGCAGCACTATAAAAAAATTTCAATTAAAATTCGGTTACTACAAATCAAATTTGAAAAATATTAATATTAAGATCTTAAATGATAAATACAATAATGAATTAATGCTATAAAAATTTTGTATCAATGAAGTATTGAAGGAAATTAAGTTGTATGAAATGAATGAAGTTCATCTTCATTTTTTTCACGAAAGTTCATTTTGGAAATACAAATTCTTGAAATAAAATTCAGTATTTATTTTTAAATTGAGCTTACTTAATTTTGGATGATTCAAAGTCTTTATTCAAATAAACATTACAATTTAAGAATAATTAAAAAATAACTCTAAAAATATACTTTTTTTAAACATCTTTTCTTTTTTATTCTTTTCTCTACGAGTAAATGTTTTTTTTTCTTCTACTTAAAAAGTCCATACAATAAAAAAGTATTGGAAGAAAACATATTTTCGAATGTTCTGATTTTCTTTTTTCGTGTTTTTTTATTTTTTTCTTGCCGCAAAAGATTTCGAGAATCCAAACGATAAAGTGGAAAGAGCGAAACTTAAAATGAAAGCAAGCGATAAAATGGCGAGACAAAAAAATACTTGATATTCAAAGAAGAAATAAGAGAAGAAAAAAACGCTAGATGTGTCGTAAAATTAAATTCCTTTGAAAGTTAAATTGTCAAGATGGGCATACGTGAAATTCCACTATTCCAATATTGATGTAGGAAAATGCTATGCCTGTGACAATGATTATATCTAAGAAACTCGAAAAATAATTTTGAATTACTTTCATCAAATGTTTTATTTAATTGCTTTTAAGTTATTTTTATTGAAATTCACTGCTATAGGCTTGAAATAAGATTTAATACCCAGTCATATTTTTTTTCAATAAGAAAA